CAAATTCTACATTCGTACCCGTAGGAACAAATATCACCCCTGCTTCAAATTTTTCATCTGTACTTACTCCCCTCGCTGCTAACAATGTTCAGCGAGTTAATGGAGCTACCTATGCTGCTATTGCAACGGGTAGGAATCAAAATACTAACCAACGTAATTCTAACGGAAATTTTGACAATTTTGACTTAGGAAGCATTACTGCCCCTAAAATGGAATTTTTACAGAAATCATTAATTGACATGATTTCTGATATGCTTAAATCTAACTCCATGTTTTATGCTATTCAGACTGGAGTAAAATGTGCAAATAATATTGTCATGACTTTAAAATTCAGTAATGGATTTTAAAGCATTAAATATTTTAAATTGGAATGCTCGATCTCTTAAAGATAATGAAGACGAGCTATTTAACTTTTTGAGAGTTTTCACTTCGGACCTCCCTGATTTGCCTCAGGGTTGTCACAATTCTTTGTTCGCTGATGACACAGGCATTTCCGCTAAAGGAAGAAGTCTTCGTGTAATTTGCACCAGACTGCAGAAAAGTTATGATATTATCTCTTCTTATTTACAGAAATTGAAGATTTCTCCAACGCTTCCAAAACTCAACTTATAATATTTCCACATACGCCTAAAGCTTCCTTTTTGAAACCTAGTAGTAGTCACATAGTCACTATGAACGGAGTTCCTATTTCCTGGTCAAACCAAGTGAAATATCTTAGATTAATACTTGACCAAAAATTAACTTTTAAAGATCATATTGAGGGCATTCAAGCCAAATGTAACAAATATATAAAATGTTTGTATCCTCTTATAAACAAAAAATCAAAACTTTGCCTGATGAATAAACTTCTAATATTTAAACAAGTTTTTAGACCAGCCATGCTTTACGCTGTGCCAATATGGTCTTGTTGTTGCACTACCAGGAAAAAAGCACTTCAAAGGATTCAGAACAAAGTTCTGAAAATGATTTTGAAGTTGCCTCCCTGGTACAGTACTACCGAAGTACATGGAATTTCGAATGTTGAGACTTTAGAACAAATGTCAAACAAAATAATTAATAATTTCAGGCAAAAATCGTTGCAACCTTCAATTGCAACGATTAATTCCCTTTATACTTAGATAAGATTTAGTTTTAGTTTTTAGTTTTAAGATATCAATTGTTATACTGACATGCAGGTTTAAAAAACCTATTTAAAATACTGAATTGCCAAGACAGGAACAATGTAAGAACACTTAGCTATATATCATAACAATTAAGGCTGGTAAGCTACTGCAGTAACTGGAGCACCTAGGTTAAAATGAAATGTAATTTATTTTGAATTTGAAACAAATAAAGAGTTAAAAAAAATCACACTACTGGCTTGGCGTCGTACTCACCTAGTCAGGTTTAGTTGCTCATTGTTGTCAACGGATCTAGTTAGGGCTGCATTCCTTCTTATCATTCTCAATCGATTAACTTCATTCGTGACTGCGACATTCTTTCTCTAGCCAGTTCATTTTGTGATGCACACTGTGAGGTAGTTTGGCTCGCTCGAAGATTCATTGTGTTCCTAGCTTTAAGACTGCTGCGTTCGATGTTGCTGCGCCTTATTGGAGGCATCGCAAATTACTGACTGAAGAGTAAGCAATAAAATCAGATCCACTTCGATCACATCGACATTTCTCAATTCAGATTATTTTTTTTCTATGGGGTAAGAAGGTGAAGATACCCGATTAATTGCGAATAAGTAAAAAAGGTGAACAAGTTCAACGCGATGTGCGTCATTCGTCGGCCTGGCGTTTCATAATGTCATGTCCCAGTCAAATCGTAACTCCGGTTTTGCACCATTTTGTTGATTTTTCTTTAGAAAGTAGGCAAACTTTATCGTTGGCAAAATCTTCAACAATACAAAATAAAAGCGGCACCGGTGGTGTATTGGTAAGCATGATAACCTCTCACCCCAGCAGGTCTGGGTTCAATCCCAGCCGGCGCTGCCAGGATTTTCTGAGGCATAACATCTCTTGACAATATGCCGATTTTCATACCAGCTAGCCAACTTTGGCGTGTTGCAAGTATGTTTTGTTATGATCAATTGAGCTGAAATTTTGACACAGAACTACAAATATGCTGAATGTTGCATGTACGTAGGAAGCACTTTCCGGAAATTGACGGGCTGGTTGAAAATGGCCAATAAAATAGCACATTTATAATTCGAAATTTCCGAAGTCTATTACTTCGGAAATTTTTGACCATATCGTAAATTACTTTCTTAAGCATGCCGTAGTTTATTGGCAATTTGATTGACATTTTTCAAACTATAACTGTTGCTGCCAGCACTGCCCCGCGGTGTAACCGCAACCGAACGACATCACCGCTTCAACTGGCGAACGGTGTTACCAAGACTTAAAACGTCAAAGTGTACAAGTTGACGGACAATGACGTGGCCGATGAGAGGTTGTCTGTAGAAAATCTTAGAGGTGAAAAGAAAGTTAGAAGTAAATTGAAGTGATTGTAATTATCTTTGAATTAGGCCTAAAACTATGTTTTTTCAGTTCTTACAGCTAAAGTTGTACTTAAACTATCTTACCCTAAACTATAACAGATAGTTATCACAGTTAGCAGAGCAGCCGTAAGTTTATATGAAATACAATTAGAAACTATGTATAACCTAAAATTTATCGCAGATTGCTTCACATACGAGGATTTCGGTTAGGCATTAATATTCCATACGCTCAAACCGAATAATTGTAAGTAGTATTATTATTATAACTAAATGAGTTAAATGCTTACCTAAGCGAATAAATATTGCAGTTAAAGCTGTATTCGCACCCATAAGTTCGAGTTTGCGAGCTGCTAATTAAAACGGTTGAGAGCCCTATTGTTCCCGGAACAAACCTTTAAAATTATTCGCCATGCCGAAATCGGATTCATTGACTAACCCCACCAACCCAGCCACACCGGAGAAGGGTCAAACATCCAGCTGCGTCTGCTGTGATCGCCCAGACGCGGTCGACGATTGCGTGCAATGCGATCAATGTAATGGGTGGTGGCATATGCAATGCGCGGAAGTATCTACATCGGTGGCAGATCGATCGTGGACTTGTGGACACTGTTTGCCGCTGAGTGTATGTTCCCGAACAACAACGTCCAGCGCTAGGGCGGCACGTTTGATGCTAAAAAAGAAGCTGTTGGAAGAGCAGCAAGCGATGGAAAAACGTCATTTGGTGGAAAAATATAAGATGCTGGAGGAGGAGTTGCACGAAACGGACGATTCGGTCAGCAACAGGAGCAAGGTCAGTAGAAGGACGAGTCTGGACAGGGTGAAGCACTGGCAACAGCAATGCGATGAGCAGTCCGATGTTTCTGATGGTCTTCCGTTAGTAGGCCAATCCGCAGATACTGCAGCAGCTGCATTGAACAGCCAGGGTCAGATTGACTCGGGGAAAACGATGCCGGAGCCAACCGATGAGGTCAACAAGCTTATTTGGCAAAAGTTGGCTAGGGATGCAACGAGGCGACAAGAGCTGAGGCATGCAGAACACCGTCAGCAATCCAGCTTCAAGCAGCCACAGTTGAATTCAACGTTAAAGCCGTTTGGCGTTCCTGAACGGTGCCGTGAGGAGAGGTATCAGCAGCAGTATACCGGCGCGATCCCTAAAATAGGTCCGAAGCAGCAACAGGTAACCAACCCAAGAAGTAAAGTCGAACCCCAAGTGCCCCCCATAACACATCAAGGTAAGTCACTCGGTGATCCAATAATAAATCCACCATTACCACCAAAAATTGAAAACTCCCTCCAACAAATTATGAAGCAATTTGGAACGTTGGCACCATTTGCCACGATTTCCTCCAATGAAACAAATACTGTTCCCCCTTCGTTTGGAACAAATGTTGGCTTTCCGCCACCGGCAAATCCGATTCAATCTTCCGGATTAGCTCCCCCAACTGCGGGATTGCCGATTGTTGGCTCTTCGCCACTTGCGTCTGGAACAGTTTTCCCGCAACAGGGACTGTCGAATGTTGGCTTTCCGTCACATGTAAATCCGGTACTATCCGTTGGAGCAGTTCCCCCACCGTCGTGTCTGCCCATTACTGATCAATTTACCCCCTCCCCCTCGCAGCTAGCCGCGCGTCAAGTGATGCCCCGCGATCTACCCACGTTTTCGGGTGACCCAGCTGATTGGCCGATATTTATAAGTAGCTTCATGAATAGTTCGCTTGCATGTGGTTACAACAGCGCCGAAAACCTCGCGCGTCTGCAGCGTTGTTTGAGAGGGTCCGCGTACGAATCTGTCAAGAGCAGGTTGCTGCTGCCTGAATCAGTGCCTCAAGTGATAGATACCCTTCGTTTGCTGTACGGGCGACCTGAATTGTTAATTAATGCTCTACTGCAGAAGGTGCGTAGTGTTCCGGCGCCAAAAGCGGAGAAATTGGAGACCATAATCGACTTTGGAATGGCTGTGCGAAGCCTCAGCGATCATCTGGAAGCCGCAGGACAGCAAGACCACCTTTCCAACCCAACGTTGCTGATGGAGCTGGTGGAGAAACTTCCTGCGCACACTAAAATGCAGTGGGCAGACTATATGCAGCAGCACCCGGTAGTCAACCTAAAGGCGTTTGGAGATTTCATGCTCAGAGTTATCACAGCAGTCAGCAGAGTTACAATGTACGTCGGTGGGAACAGTGGTGGTCAGCAGAAGCCGAAGCAGAAGGGAGCGGTGAATGCCCACACTAGCGAAGCAGAGCAAGTTCGAGAGCCAGTTCGGGATAAAGTTCGAGTATGTTCTTGCTGTAAAAGGTCAGGTCATCACGTGACAGAATGTTCCACGTACAAAGCGTATACCGTAGACAACCGGTGGAAGTTCGCGCAAGATAACGGGCTTTGTCGGAGTTGTCTTAACGCACACGGAAGAAGAAGCTGCAGAAATTCAACACGGTGTGTAATCGAGGGATGCCAATATCGCCATCATCCGTTGCTGCATTCCAATCGACCCAATGCCAGCGGGCGGCATACACAAGGTATGTCAACCGTGCAGAACCATACGCATCGGCAATACAAGCAAGCTCTTCTGTTTCGCATTATTCCTGTCATCATCTCCGGTCCGCGAGCTACTATCGAAACCTTTGCTTTTCTGGATGACGGCTCGGATCTCTCGCTCATCGACAGCAGTCTGGTGGAGCAACTGGGAGTCAACGGTTGGACCGAACCTTTGTGCCTGAAGTGGACAGGAAACGTCACCAGAGTCGAGCCAGAATCGAAAAACGTTCGAATTACGATCAAGGGAACAAATAGTCAAAAACTGTTCTCTCTCAACGATGTCCGCACCGTGAAGGAGCTCACGTTGCCGGAACAGAGTCTCAACTATGATGAGCTATCACAACGCTATCGTTATCTTCAAGGTTTGCCTATCGACAACTACGCGAAGGCAGTTCCTCGACTCTTGATAGGTGTGAACAACGTGAGCCTTACAGTCCCGCTGCAGGTGAAAGAAGGCAAGAGAGGTGAACCTATTGCCGTGAAGACTAGGCTAGGATGGTGTATCTTCGGTGGCAGTGGAAATGAAGGTGCACATTCGCTGAATTACCACACTTGTGAGTGTCACAGTGATCAGCAGCTACATAACGCAGTGAAGGATTACTTCCTGATAGAAGATGCGGGGGTAAAGCCTTCAGTACAGCTGGAATCAGAAGAGGACAAGCGTGCTAGAAGAATCATGGAGGAGACGACTACCCGAGTAGATGAACGGTTCGAAACGGGTCTGCTGTGGAGATACGACAACATCGAGTTTCCGGACAGCTACAATATGGCGGTTAAACGATTTGAGTGTCTGGAGCGCAAGATGAATCGGGATCCTGAGCTAGCGGCTAATATTAAGAAGCAGATAGCAGAGTACCAGATCAAAGGCTATGCACATCGAGTGACGGAAGACGAATTAGCGCAAGCGGAGCCGAAACGAGTGTGGTATCTACCGTTAGGCGCAGTGACCAACCCACGGAAACCGGGTAAAGTTCGGCTTATTTGGGATGCGGCAGCGATAGTGGATGGAATATCCCTGAATTCCATGCTGCTGAAAGGTCCAGACCAGCTTACATTGCTTCCAGCCGTTTTGTCAGGCTTTCGGCAGTACAAGGTGGGAGTTTCTGCGGACATCAAAGAAATGTTCCACCAGATGTTGATTCGTATGAGGGACCGGCATTCTCAACGCTTCGTGTTCCGGAGCGATCCGTTGGAGCCACTCGAAATATACCTTATGGACGTGGCAACATTTGGATCCACGTGTTCGCCGGCTTCGGCACAGTATATCAAAAATAGAAATGCCGAAGAATACGCTGAACAATTCCCAAGAGCAGTGGAGGGAATTCTGAATAACCACTACGTGGATGATTACCTCGACAGTTTCGAGAACGAGGAAGAAGCAGAACGAGTATCGCGTGAAATCAGATCGATTCACGAGAAAGGAGGATTTCAGCTTAGGAATTGGCTTTCAAACAGCATCGCAGTACTTCGTGAGTTGGAAGAGGAGGATCCGAAGGCAAGCAAAAGTCTTTGCCTGAGCGCCGTGGACAGTAGCGATCGAGTACTGGGCATGTTGTGGCACACTACCGAAGACGAGCTGCGGTTCTCGATGGATTTGAAGGAGGAGATTCAGCGGGTGATAGACAACGGTGAGCGGCCAACCAAACGGCAGATGCTTAAATGCTTGATGGGGATATTCGATCCTCTGGGAATCCTAAGCGTATTTCTAGTTCACGGAAAGATCCTTCTCCAAGACGTTTGGCGAGCTGGAATACAGTGGGACGAAAGAGTGCCAGAAGATATATTTGGTCGCTGGATCAAGTGGACCAGCCTTTTCCCTAAGATCAGCCACCTGCGGATCCCACGATGTTATTTCAAGGACGCAATCAAGAAAACGTATGAACAGCTTCAGCTACACATTTTCGTGGATGCAAGCGAATCCGCATTCTCCGCTGTGGCGTATTTCAGGGTGGTCAACGCTAAGGGCGAATCAGAATGCTCGATAGTAGCAGCGAAAACAAAGGTCGCACCTCTGAAGCCACTCTCGATTCCCCGCTTGGAGTTGCAAGCAGCGGTCCTTGGCAGTCGTTTGATGTCGTTCGTTCAGGAATGCCACACCGTCGAAGTGAAGCAGCGTTTCCTGTGGAGTGACTCCGCAACTGTGTTAGCCTGGTTGCGTGCCGATCATCGCCGGTACAAACAGTACGTTGCATGCAGAGTAGGGGAATTGTTGTCTACGACGGACGTAGCAGAGTGGCGATGGGTTCCTAGCAAACTAAACCCTGCAGATGCTGCTACAAAATGGAGCAAGAACCCTTGCCCGAAAGTCACCGACGAGTGGTTCAAGGGTCCGGAATTTTTACGGTTTCCCGAAGAGAACTGGCCGAAACAGGTGAAAACTTCGGCGCAACCTGACGAGGAACTACGAACCTGCTTTGTAATCAAAGGAACGACGATTCCAGAGATTGTGGTGGACTTTTCCCGTTTCTCAAAGTGGCGGCGACTTCTGGGAGCAGTAGCGTACGTACATCGTTTCGTGGACAACTGTCAGCGTAGACAACGAAGAGAGAAGCCGGAATTGCTGTACCTGAGCCAAAATGAACTACGAAAAGCGAAGGATACGATAATGCGGATGGTGCAATGGAACGAATATCCGGAGGAGATGATCCTGTTCTCGAGAGGACACACGGAGCTACCCAAAACAAGCAGCTTATACCAGTTAACGCCGATGCTGGACGAGAACGGAGTTCTACGAGTCGAAGGAAGAATTGGAGCGGCACCGCATGCATCGTTCGATGCCAGATTCCCGGTGATCCTCCCGAGAAAGCACCCGGTGACAAAGCTAGTGGTAGATGATTTCCATCGAGCCTTTCGCCACGGAAATTCCGAAACGGTAGTGAACGAAGTCCGACAGTACTACAACATTTCCCGATTGAGGACGGTGGTGAAGCAAGTTTCAGCAACGTGCCAGTGGTGCAAGGTGAAGAAGACGTATCCCACGGTTCCACGAATGGCGCCGTTGCCGGTGGCTCGTTTGTCGTCGTTCACTCGACCATTCACCTACACCGGCATCGATTTCTTCGGGCCGTTATTAGTGAAAGTAGGGAGGAGTGCTGCTAAACGCTGGATCTGCCTATTCACTTGTCTCACTACACGCGCCGTTCATGTCGAGGTTGCTCACAGCCTTTCTACACCGTCGTGCATCAAGTGCATACGTCGTTTTGTCTGCCGCCGAGGGGCGCCGGCAGAAATCTATACCGATAATGGTACCAACTTCAAAGGTGCCGAACGTCTGCTGCGGGAGGAGCTCGAGTGTATACACAGCGAATTGGCAGCGACGTTCACTAATACAGATACGAAGTGGAATTTCATTCCGCCAGGAGCACCTCACATGGGCGGAGCGTGGGAAAGGATGGTACGGTCGATTAAGTCGGCTATGGAGGCAGCTTACAACAACGATCGGAAACTGGACGACGAGGGACTAGGAACACTAGTAGTCGAAGCCGAGGGCATTGTTAACAGCCGTCCGCTTACCTACTTGCCCCTAGACGCTGCCGAAGGGGAAGCTCTGACGCCAAATCACTTCCTCCTAGGAAACTCAACGGGTGTTCGCCAGCCTGCAGTAACGTTCAGTGACGCGGCTTCCGCGGTTAAGACTTCCTGGAATCTAATACAATATCAACTGGACGTGTTCTGGAAGCGTTGGATTCGGGAATATCTCCCGATGCTGACCAAACGGATGAAGTGGTTTGGAGAAGTAACGCCTGTTGCTGTTGGGGATCTAGTCCTTGTAGTGGACGACGCCCGTAGGAACGGATGGATTCGAGGAAGGATCAAGGATGTCGTGGCTTCGGAAGACGGACGAGTTCGGCAAGCTATAGTTCAGACTGCGAGGGGGATGTTACGTAGACCGGTGTCGAAGTTGGCCGTGTTGGAGGTTGAGTCTGGTGGTAAAACTGGAACCGGTGGCCAGTGTTACGGGGGGGAGGATGTTGCTGCCAGCACTGCCCCGCGGTGTAACCGCAACCGAACGACATCACCGCTTCAACTGGCGAACGGTGTTACCAAGACTTAAAACGTCAAAGTGTACAAGTTGACGGACAATGACGTGGCCGATGAGAGGTTGTCTGTAGAAAATCTTAGAGGTGAAAAGAAAGTTAGAAGTAAATTGAAGTGATTGTAATTATCTTTGAATTAGGCCTAAAACTATGTTTTTTCAGTTCTTACAGCTAAAGTTGTACTTAAACTATCTTACCCTAAACTATAACAGATAGTTATCACAGTTAGCAGAGCAGCCGTAAGTTTATATGAAATACAATTAGAAACTATGTATAACCTAAAATTTATCGCAGATTGCTTCACATACGAGGATTTCGGTTAGGCATTAATATTCCATACGCTCAAACCGAATAATTGTAAGTAGTATTATTATTATAACTAAATGAGTTAAATGCTTACCTAAGCGAATAAATATTGCAGTTAAAGCTGTATTCGCACCCATAAATTCGAGTTTGCGAGCTGCTAATTAAAACGGTTGAGAGCCCTATTGTTCCCGGAACAATAACACTAAAGTGGGTAGTAATTAAGAGTACAATTTTTGATTATGTGGTTTCTTGCTGCTTGTAAGCAACATTTCTTATTGAACTTTCAAGACAATTAATGACATAGCAACTTTTAAGAAACCTAAAACAAGATCCAAGATTTGAAAAGTTTTCCTGATTCTGAAACTTTGAACCAACTTCACCCGCCTTTGTTTTGAAACCTGACCAAGCCCGTGTTCAACATAGCAAATATTCAACAAAGGCACCTGCTTCTGTGCCTGGAAGGCGTCATAAATCTTTTAGAAATTCAATGCGGAAATGAGATTCCAAAATAATGAGGTCAATGGACACGGCTGAAGCTTTAGAAAACAAAAATAAAACACCGGAGCAAGCAACAGCAGCTCTTGAAAAATTGCCATTCGCAACAATAGGCAGAGAATCCCATTGCCACATCCCATCCTCATAAAATCCCGGATTGGAGCTTTTATTTTCATCGTAAGCTGTTGTGGTACTTCGAAATACTGGTCCACTCGCTTTTATTCTGTCCTCAAGAAACACAGCGCTGCAGCTCAGATGAAATTATTTCCTATTTCAAAGCTTTATGGCTGTTATGAACATTTTTTCCCCAGATTGTTGAATGGGGTTAATGCTTTTCAGGTGAATAATATGGGTATTTATGCGAAAAGTTCTCCAACAATAAACGACCGCCCTCGCGTAGCAAAACTTCAAAAGTGTTAAAATTTAATTCTCCACCCATCGGCAATCGGTTGGGATCCCAGCGAAATATGGTAATTGAAAAGATAAACTCCTGCTGTTTTCCTTTTCCAGGAATCCTCATCAATCAAGTTTTTTAGGTTTTTTTTTTTGCTGCAATGGATAAACCTTTGCCACCCAATAATCAGACGAGCTTGAAAGTGTTCCATCAACCGAGCGTTGAGGCGAGCAGCCGCACAGTTCCATCAATTCTCGCATCACTCGCCATCTTTAAGAAAGAAAACCAAGATCACATTTGGAAGAAGACACCGGAGCTTACGGAGCAGTCCCATTTGCTAACCAGATCGGAGTCGGAGAGTACCAGAGCAACCGACCAGCATGCGGGGCTGGGTGGAATAAAAATAAATTTTTCATTTCCATTTTAAACGAATTCACCACAATCGATCATGTCGAAATCCATTTATAAAATTTTCTTCCGTTCGGTGTGCTCAGCAGACAGGCGAAGAAGAAGGATTCAATTTGAAATGTGGCTTTGCTCCATTCCGATGGTTGGTGGGAGGGCATTTGCACATCATTGGAATATGATTTGAATTTTCCAGGGATTGGTACAAATGAGGTGAAGTTGTTTGCTAGAAAGGGGAGGGAGGGTATAAATTATCTTCCTATGAGGTGAATAATAAGAGAGACGTTGAGCTCATTGGTCAAGCCATGGGACGACAACGAATATTAAAATTGGTCCATGCATGACAGTTGAAAAATACAATGTGCCGTATTAAATTTGGAATTAGGGAACAGGAATATTCAACACTTAAATAGGTACTTTCTACCAGAACATATTTAATGATTGATCTTTCTCTTTGTATTCCATCAAAACATCCATCTCCGAAAATGCACTGTATCAAATGGTTGGATATTCATTGGCACGTCTGACAAGTGAATCCAACCCAGCAATTTATCCACAAATCAAGATAAATCCTGAAATTCCCATCAGATTTATCAAACTAATCAACAGCTCTTCCTCCCACATAAGTCACAAGTTGAACCTCGTTTTGCTTATTCCCCTGACATGACAGCTCCCATCCATCAATAATTCATCTTTCATAGCTGGCATTCATAACTTTCCCTTTTCCTATCACAGTTTTATTGTTTTTTGTGTGCGCAAGATTGCTGATGCTGGTTGTGCAAGCACATTTCCTTCTTGTCTTGCGTTTTCTTCTCTTGTGCGAGTCTTCGAAGCCTGAACTTTAAATCCCATGCGACCGAATGTATGGCCTCCTTTCGCATTATCCAGACTCCAACGGAATGGTGGAAAGAATGATTCTCAGTCATAAAAATGACTTATTTCCTCATTCGCTGGCACCGAATCGCTCTTTCTGAAGAATGGGACAGAACATTTACAGATGAGTACGTTTGGATTTCTGTCACATCTGCAATCTTATCACATCGTGTGTACGGTGGAGTCAGCAGGGGATTGAGGAATAACCACCTCCGGTTGCGTTGACTTTGAATGTGCGCAGTTGTTCCCGTAAGGAGGATAGACTTTGGGGAGCCTTGGCTGAGAAAGTGATTTCGAAAAGGACTTGAATATGTTTACGACCGCTTCGAATGTATGGTATGTACGCACTTTATTGGTGATAAAAAAGAAATTAAACATTATCATTTCAACTGTTTGGTGATTCATCGTGAGATTTGATGATGCTTTAAGTTACTGCGTCCTTGGGTGACGTGAGCATTTAGGCAAATATTATTTGAAGAGCTTTGAGTGGGCTGGTTTATTTCCATTAAATTCCGTTATAATTGCTTATCTTTTGACAGATATGCGTATTTCGTCTACTACTTGCAGACTTCATCAATGCCAAGTAGTCAAAACCACTGAAGAATCCATCTTTTATCTACGAGTTATACACTAATCAATAGGTACTAGGTACCCACTGCCATGTCACAATTTACCTAAACAGGTACCTAAATTCAGCCTCCAACAGGTAGATGCATGCTACGATGTGTTGTTTTAGGTAGCATGCTAAAGAGTCTCGAGTATCCGTTTCCTTGAAAAGCAATGTTGATGGATTATGTTTAAATATTTCTAAACTTTCAGCTAAGTTTCCAAGGCGAAGATACAGTCCGCAGGATATTAATGTTTGTCAAATTGTGCCCCTTTGTAACGATATGTTCTGCAACCTTGGATTTAAATTCATAATGAAGTCCTTTATCCATCTCTTTTTTAGCCTTTTTGACTTCTGCGATGTGTTCCTTAAACCTTGTGTCCAAAGTCCTTTTCATCTGACCAATGTAGATTTTATTGCAATCTGGACAAAAGAATTTGTAGACTCCGGCTTTCCCTAAGACATTTATTGAATCTTTTGTTGATCTTAACAGTGACTTCAGATGATTTATCCTACTGCTGAATACTAAATCTAGGCCAAAACTTCTAAACTTCGAAATCAATTGTTTGGTAATGTTTTTGTCAAAATTCAGCGATTTCAAAAATGTGAGCTATTTTCTTTGATTTGCCTGTATCGCTAAGACGAAGAGTTTGCATCCTGTGAACCATTTGGTGAAAAGCGGCCATTTTGTGTTGATGGGAATGGTTTGAAGTGTTTGGTATTACTCTTTTTGTGTTTGTTGGTTTCCAATAGATTTCGAAACGGAACGAAGACGTTTCCCTGATGACGAGAAGATCTAAGAAGGGGAGTTTACCGTCTAGCTCTTCTTCGTGAGTAAATTTGATGTCCTTGTGAACGTTGCTTATGGCCTCCAAAGTGTTTGATAAATCTTCTCTTTTGACAATGCTAAAGATGTCATCCACGTACCTATACCAACATTTGGGCAACAAATTCCTATCCTCCAGAGTATTTTCTAGGTTAGCCATGATCAATTCACATAAAAATGGAGAAAGCGGATTGCCCATAGGAGCGCCCTTAGTTTGTTTATAAAAATTGCCTTTGAAAATGAAATAATTTTCCTCCATACAAAGACGAGTAAGCTTGAGATATGACCGAACTTTGCTTTTCCAAGTAGAATCCTCACGTTGCAACGCATTGGTTTGTTAGTTATTGGCCTAAATGAGATCCTTATATTAAAAGGTTTTCGCTCATATTTGTGTGAATTGCAAATTTGGTATGTGTTAATAAAACATTTAATTTTTGAATGCATTTTTGGGAAGAAATTGCTTCTTTTTATGTGGTTTACAATTTTTATTATGCTTCTATGCGCCCTTTCGTGTTCTCTAGCTATGATGCTGTTTTGCAAATTTTCTAATTTTACATCTTCCACTTACAATGGACTGAAAACGGAATGAGAGGAGTTGTTTAAATGTTTTGTTTTTTCAATACTTCCTGAATTAAGTTGATTATGGATTCTGGTGCCTTTATTGCACTCTGTTTATTATTGTGGAAACGTTTCAAGTCGTCTAAGGTAGAGTCTTCATCAAATTGTTTTTGTCATATGGTTGCCCTATGATAGTTTGTGAAAGCAATTTCGGTAATCGTCGTTTCAATGTGTGCGATTTTAAATATTATCTGATTCGTAAAATAATTTACTGGTCTTTCTGTAAAATGAATGAAATAGTCGTCAGATGCATTAGCGGAATGTACCGTTTGAGAGTCGGAAGTTTCGACGGCGTCTACGTCTTCTGCAAGTGCAGGGTTATCCTCGTCAGGATCAATTTCTTCTCTTGAGTCGCTGTGTGTATCTGGAATTGAAACATTTTCGTTATTATTGATTATTACGGAATGTTGCGTCTCTTTATTGGTTGTGGACTTCATTAGGTAATTTGAAGTATCTGAAATTGAAATGTTTTCGTTATTAATGATGTCATTAT